TTTTAAAGATTTTTATTTATTTAACAGAGATAGAGAGAGCACAAGTAGGCAGAACGGCAGAGGGAGAGGGAGAAGCAGGCTCTCCGCCAAGCAGGGAGCCCAATGCGGGGCTCAATCCCAGGACCCTGGGATCACGACCTGAGCTGAAGGCAGCTGCCCAACCGACTGAGCCACCCAGGCGCCCCTGTAAGAATGATTAAGAATTTTTTTTTTTTTTTTTACAAAAGTCAACAAAACTAAAACTGCTTCTTTGAGAAGATTAATAAAATTGTGAAGCCCAGTAAGGCTGATCTATGTACATGCACACAGAGAAAATAAGAAGAATGAGACCAAAACAGAAACTCTATAATTTTGAACTGATCCAAACACAGATCGGTTTTTACTTTCTTCTTCATACTGCTCTGGGTTTTCTACATTCTGAGTAAGCTGCTAATTGAATTGGCAGGAGCACATCCGCTCCACAAGACACAGCCTTAGGACTTACCTGGCAGCCAGAGAATAAATGGCATTGGCAGATGCAGAAGGTTTGATCTTGGGGTGCTCACACTCTGAACCTGCTAATGGACTGTTATTCACATTCTGGAAAGAAAATTGGTGAGAAAGAACCTTCTTAACACAACTCAGTGACTCCTCTTACTTCTCCAACCTAGTCAAAATAACAAGAACAGTAATACAGACCCCGACCCCACTCTCAATGCCGTGCTTAGGGGTTATTACGTCTGACCAAAAGCAGAGCTGCTTTCAGGCGCTGAAAAAAGTTTAAATGTCAGGGTGAGGAAGACAGATCTAAAAAGAGCCAAGGAAATGGGGGTTTTTGTTTTGATTCTAGAAGATTTGAGGAAATTGGCTGTCTATGCAAATACCCTTTCTAGCTCTAAAAATCTGTATCTATTTCTACAGTGAGGTCACCAGAAAGCCTGACCTAATTCATTCCCACGAATTAGACGGCCTATCATTCGATGCCACTTGTAAGTGACCATCCCCCTTCTCTTGCCACCAAGAAGTACCCAGTTCATGTAAGGGCCCAACCATATTCCTCAACTTCACGGTTCACAAGTTGGTTTCCCCGCCTTTTTTTTTTCATTTGTCTGAAGGGGACTGGCAGCATTACTATGTAGTTACACTGCTAATTAACCTTCAACTATTTGTGTAGCACATAAGAAAGAACACTGCTCACATACACAAGAGAAAGCAGGTCAATGAAATGTGCACTAGAGCATTCTCCCTCTTGCTTACTTAGCGCTATACTCTCCCCAACTCACCTGCCTCCCCTTCATCCTGGAAGGGTCTCCCTCAGAATCAGCACGGCTCGCTCTCACCAATGCTCCAGATCTTTGCTCAGAATTGTACCCCATCCCTCCACGTACCCCCACCCCAACTTTCCCGATATCCCTTTTTTTCCACTGTTTTTCTCCACAGCTCTCATCAGCATCCAATGCCCTTTGTTTTAACTTACCATGTTTGTCTTTACTCCACTAGAATGTAAATTTGTGAAGGTAGGATATTTTGTGGAGCACATACACAAATGAACCAACAAAAGAAAAATAAATCGCCCCACCCCCAGGTCTGGACCCCTTATCTCATGCTAATACAATGAACCGCTAACCTTTTTTCCAGCTATTCTCTTAGCAATCCACTTATTAGTAGATAATCTACTATTAGATTTATCTCTGTAAATCATTTTGCTCATGTCATTTTGCTCATGTCACTCCACTAATTTAAAACCTATTTCAAATGCTCACTTCCTACCAAATAAGTTCAAATTCCTTTGGCCTTGATGGGATTTTCAAAATCCTCTAATCTAGTATTAAGGCCCCTTTCTAGACCTCTTCTCTCCTCTGACATACAAAACTTCTGCTCCACTCAAATTAAACTACTTCTAGTTCCACAATGTACCTCAAGCATCTGTGTCATCGTACCTCTGACCTTAACACTATACACTTTGGAAAGAACACTTCGAATTCAGATGCCATTTGTTCCATAAAGCCCTCATGACTGCTCCACTTGGAAATAATCTCTCCTCTCTCTACAACTTAAACGCTTTCTGTTTCTAATACTCATTTATACTACATGAGTCCAGCCATATATACATATATACACAGGTACACACACATACCTACTGGGGTATTTACAGACATGCTTTATCTGCTCTGGTAATATACTTCTTGAGGGTATATACACGTCTGAGGGTAGGGATGTTTCATGGTCTCCGAATCCTGCACAAAACCTATCACAAAACTCTGACCCATTAAATGTCATCCAAAAATATCTGTTAATAGGCTAAAAAATGTCAAAGACAGGACTCACCATGGAGGTATCCACACTGAATGTGCTTCCAAGCCTGGACACATCTGTTCTGGGTTCCATTTGTGAGGGCAATGAAAATGGAAGTGAGTGCCTGTTGGTTAATTCTCTACCTGTCCAGGGGTCACTAGAGTTTGGGGCAACCACCGGTACTTTGGGGATTGGCCGAGGCAGCCATGATTCCCCAAGGCGGCTAGAGGGAACAGGGGGCAGTTTGTCCCTGGATGGACAGTCGCCCGGTGTACAAGGCAAGGGACGTCTCTGTGGCCGGCTTTCTGCTCCAACAGAATATGGCCGGTCTGGAGGGGGTGGTGGTGGAAGATCTCGAAGTGTGGGAGGTATTGGTAATGGTTTGTCCTTATGAAGGGAGCCAGAAGCTACCTGTGGAAGCACGAGGAAAGCAAATCAATCAAAACTCATTAATTTAAAAAAAACCCACTATAATCCACAACAAAGAACCAGAAAACTGTAGAAATGGATAACGTCTTACCTTAGAAGCAGTTCCAAGACCAGAAGCACTTGAAGGAAGAGATACCCGCTGTTGCAGAAGGTCAAGTCGTGGTGGCACCGGGGGAAGGGAAGCTTGTGGGGCCATGGAAAACGGAGAAGGAGGCCGTTCCACCTGACACAAATAAAATTTCCTAATAAATTATTCTTGTATGAGGGAGTGGCATCTTTCAACTCCTCCTAAAGCTGTAGACAGCAAGTACTGTATGAACACTAACTGTAACTACCAATGGGTCAGCCTTCCTGAACTATTTCTGTGTCACCATAAGAGGGCACTCTCAATCACAGAACAACTACTACTACTACGAGCAGATGCAAGCTACAGGCAAGTATCTAGAAATGGCTGTGCTACAAAAAGCTTCCTAGCTTACAACTGAAAACAAGTATTACACTTTTCCACCTCCTCATCTTCAGAGAAAGAAAAAAAATCTTTTCAAAATTAAAAATAGGAACCCATATAAAAAGGAAGGAGCAGACATTCACCTCTCAACAAATTACGTGGGAAAATGACATTTAAGGCACAGAACAATGAAAGAGATCAAAGAGGAGAAATCCTCCATGGCTTATCATGACAGAAAAAAGAAAAAAATGAAGATGTTAAAAGAAAAAGAATCAACAGTATCACTAAAAAGCATCTCGAGTCCTTCTGAAGAAATGTTATTTCAATTCAGTAATTTAAAGGGATTAATATTTCCTATCAATTTGTGTTCTTAAAAAGAGGTGCCAAATTAGACGAAGCAATACATGTATAACCTCTCCCATTTCCGAGCCTGTAGCAGGGTGATGAATGGCTGATAAGCTTGTCCAGACAAGCGATCAAGAGATATGTATAATTCATACAAAATGCTACTTGGCATTTGCATTCTCTCCCAGGGAGCAATACAGATGGAATATAGGCAAATATGTATTATGAGCACTTATGTAAGATGACAGAAAGATAACCATTCACATACTCAGTCCTATAATTAATGCTGGGTGGTAAATGAAGGCAAAGAAAGCCCTCATCAAAGCTACCTGCTTTTACTCATGCTTAAGAAAAACGGCTCCATGTCCCTGGTGCGTGAGTGATGCAGCATGAACAGCTAGGACACCTCAAGGGTTAAGCACAGTGAGAAGTTATTAGGTTGTCCCTTCATCAATTTCTAGCCAGTCACTATATCCTGTTGATTCTTTCATGAAAGGGTCTCATATCTTTATCGGCCTTTCCATTCTGCTTACCAATCTCAGATCTGATTTATTAAAACCACCTTCTTGCAATTCTCAGTTTCTTATCTCGCCAAATCCGTATGCTCACCATTACCAGCTTAGCCATCCTTAGAATACAAAATAGCTCAAAAACCACCCACCAGTAACTCCCATTTTCCCACCAGTCTCGACTCTAGAATTCCTACCTCCTTGCCTTTGTTCAGGTTGTTTCCCAACTGGAAAAGCCCTCTCTGCCTTTTTTTTCTTTTTAAGATTTTATTTTTAAGTGATCTCTACACCCAACCCAACCCAACGTGGGGCTCAAACTCACAACCCCAAGGTAAGAGTCGCACGTTCCACCGACTGAGCCAGCCAGGCGCCCCTCTCTGCCTATATCAACCCCTCTCACCATCCATTGCTCATTCCCCTTCCTGAAGTGCAGAGGGTTGAGCTAATCACACTCTTCGTGGCTCAACATCATAACCGATCCTTGCACTGTTCTTTTACTACAACATATAATAAAGTTCCAGAAAAGGAGAAAAAACACAAGTGGAGAGGAAATGATCAGAGAAATAACACAGGAATGGTTCCATGACCTAAGGGACATAAATATCCATATAGAAAGGGTTCACTGCATAGCCAGCCCAATGAAGGAAAAAAAAACCCATGACAAACAAGCAAACAAACCAAAAAACGCCCTTATGTTTTCTTTTTTTTTAAAGATTTTATTTATTTATTTGAGAGAGAGAGAGCATGAGAGGGGAGAGGGTCAGAGGGAGAAGCAGACTCCCCACTGAGCGGGGAGCCCGATGTGGGACTCGATCCTGGGACTCCACGATCACGACCTGAGCTGAAGGCAGTGGCTTAACCAACTGAGCCACCCAGGCGCCCCGCCCTTACGCTTTCAAGGAATCAAGGATAAGGAGAATAACCTAAAAGCTTCTTGGGATAGAGGGAAAGGGGGCACCAAATAGCAAAAATACACTAGAACCTAGAAGCAAAGTGAAGCCATAACAATTTAGAGTTTTTTTCAACCTAGCACTGTGTAACTAGTCAGTTTGAAGGCCGAACAAAGACATTTAAGATATCAAACGTCTCAAAAATTTTACCTCTCACCTTTCTGAAGACACACTTCACCCAAACAAGGAAGTAGAGCAAGAAAGAGGAAAACGTGGGAGCCATGTTTCCCACGTCACCACCATATGTTATATAGTATCTACTGTATTTAGAGAATTTACTTCATAGAAAATTATACTGAGAGGATGTCAGACAGCTTGGTAAGACCTGGTAGTGACAGGTACAAACGGAAAACTAAGGAAATAAAAATAAAGCAATTTGGGGCGCCTGGGAGGTTCGGTCGGTTAAGTGTCCAATTTGTGATTTTGGCTCAGGTCATGATCTCACAGGGTCGTGAGATCAAGCCCCGCGTCTGGCTCCCCCCTCAGTGGAGAGTCTGCTGGAGATTCTCTCCCTCTCCCTCTGCTCCTCCTCCTGCTCGTGTGCACTCTCTCTCAAATAAGCAAAATCTTAAAATATTATTTATTTTTATATATACATATAGCAGTTATCCCAGGAAAAGCAGAAGGTCGTATGAGAAAACAACAGCAATTACATCATTGTGTATTGCTTGGAACAGTAAGGAGCAAAATCATTTACACACTGAATAGTGATTTGGCCAAAAAACACTCAAATAACCGTAGTGGGGAGATATGGTGTGGGAAGGAGGGAGATAATCAATCCTTTTCTACAACACCTGAAGTGAACAGATGACTGAGAAAGCAGTTTATGTATATGGTGTGAAAGGTGTTAAGAACCCACAAATCTGAGTGGGGCCCATGGAAGAGGTGAAGGCGGCAGAGGCAGGGAGCCAAGGTTTCTGCCAGCCTTCTAGCAAGTCTTTTTTAAACTTACCAAAAAATCCATATGCGTTTGTCATTTGGATTTTGTAATAAGTAGACTGACCGCATTAAAAACAAATCAAAATAAGACAGCAACAAAAAAACCCCCAACGACAGCTACCCAGGATGCGACAAATCAGGCAGCCCCCTAGTCTCATATACCTTCAAGAGTGATTTTAGGACAAAAACTTGTGGATAAATTTTAGTTATCTACTCAAAAAAAGTTAAATATTTTATAAAATATTTTATTCACACAAAGAATAATAAACACCCACGCAGTACCTACCGTGCAGCTAAGAAATGCAGTAGCACTGTCTTTGCACAATTCCCACGTGCCCCTCCCCTAATTATAATTACATCCTTTCCTCCATCAAAGAGTTTAAATGTACATTCACTTTTATCCAGCAATTGCACTGCTAGGAATTTACCCTACAGACCTGAAAAGAGTATCAGTCTGTGTAAGTCTGGAAATAATATGAACGTCCATTAAGAAACTAAATTACGGAACAGCCAAGTGAGAGCACAATGCACGAAGCTGTTTTTTCTCTATTTGAATTTTTACAGTGTACGTTTATTACTTTTATTTAAATGAGTACATTTAAAATCTTTCATAGAGATGAGCTACAGTTAAAAAGGGTTCATTTTTTTCTTTTAAGTCCTACAACACTTAGCGTGTGTACCCAAATATCTAAAACAATGTATGCTGTCGGCCTGTGTTAAATAGTTTCACCTTGCAGGCCTGTCTCAGGTTTCTTATTTCATTCAATACTTACAGCACTCAATATAGAGCCTCTTACCCAGCATCATGAACCAACCTTGCAAAAGTACTATGTTTATTGTAAAACATTCAAATATCCCATAAAGTTCAAGTCCTCTAAACTTGTGCCCTCAGAAATTATATCAGTTTAGTGGATAGTCAATTTTCCCCCCTATGCATGTTAAAATAATTTTTTTTAGAGAAATAAGGTGATACTATGCATAGTATACAATTATTTTTTAAACTTAGTATTCATTATACAGTTTTCCACTTAAGTATACGTAAACTGAACTCATTCTGCAGAGCATTCCATTATGTGGACTACAGGAGGCAGAATGAGGATGCCCTATCCTGCAGCCCTAAGATGTTTACTCACACCCCAAAACCCAGAAACTGTGAATATGTTATTTTACTTGGTAAAAGGAACTTCGCTAATGTGACTGAGGGTATGGATCTTGAGATGGGGGAATTATCCTGGACTCTCTGGATAGGCCCGATCTAATGATATGAGTCCTTAAAAGCAGAGCACCTCGGAGAGATAGGGCTGGAGGAAGAGAAAAGGAATCCAGGAGCCAAAGAGTGTGGCTGACCACTAGAAGCTGGGATACCATGAGATGACAGCCAGCAAGGACATGGGGATTTTAATCCTACAACTGGCAAGGAACTAAACTCTGCCAAATCCAAATGAAAAAGGAAATGGATCTTTCCCTAGAGCCTATAGGAAGAACTACAGACCTGCTGACACCCTGATTTAGCTGGATGGCACATGTGGTGGACTTCTGACCTTCAAAACTGTAACAGAATAAATCTGTGCTGCTTTATGCTGCTAAATCTGTAGTAATTTGTTATGGCAGAAACAGAATACAAACACACAGACATATCATAAATTCTTACTGCTGGACATGTGAGTTGGTTCTAATTTTCCATTATTGCAAATAATGCTATAAGAACTGCATCCACATCTTTGTGTGCTTATCTGAGTATTCCTTTAAGATAAATCCCTAGAATTGGAATTGCTAGTTCAAACTGTGACCATTATACATTTTGATAGGTGTTAAAGTGTCCTTCCATACGATGGGCTAATTTGTACCCACATCAACACTGAATGTGATGCCTATTTCTCCACAATAAGTATTATTCATCGGGGGCGCCTGGGTGGCTCAGTCGTTAAGCATCTGTCTTCAGCTCAGGTCATGATCCCAGGGTCCTGGGATGGAGCCCCGCATCGGGCTCCCTGCTCCGCAGGAAGCCTGCTTCTCCCTCTCCCACTCCCCCTGCTTGTGTTTCCTCTCTTGCTGTATCTCTGTCTGTCAAATAAATAAGATCTTAAAAAAAAAAAAAAAAGGTATTATTCATCTATAAAATTGCATGAAGAAAAAGGGTAATTTTAATTTCAAATAAACATATCTAGGAGGAGAGCCTGGGTGGCTCAGTCAGGGAGTCTGCTTTTCCCTCTCCCTCTGTACTCTCTCCCTCTCTTGCAAATAAATAAATCTTCAAAAAAAAAAAAAATCCAGTAAAAATCACTTATCTTTTTATTCGGCTTCCCTAATATTCCAGGAGTTACCAATAAATTTTCATGAACAGACAGAAATCTAAGAACATAAAACTGCTTTAGAGGTCAAATTAATCTCTTTTTAAAGATTTCATGTATTTATTTATTTGAGAGAGAGAGAACATGAGAGCAGGGGGGAAGGGTAGAGGGAGAGGGGAGGGAGAAGCAGGCTCCCCACTGAGCAGGGAGCCCGACATGGGGCTTGATCTCAGGACCCTGGGATCATGACCTGAGCCGAAGGCAGACGCTTAACCTACTGAGCTACCCAGGCAACCCTCAAATTAATCTCTTAAAATGGACCCAAGGAACCTGTTATAAGGGATTCAAAAACTTCAAACTTGAAAAAACTTCAAAAAATCTGTCCACTTCAAAAAACCAAAATTGTACAATTCATTCCAGACTTCCTCAACTGCCCGTTATTGATAAAGCATAGATAGATTTATTAATTCCTGTTTTGAAGTTGTTTCAATTCCCAGTCAAACATTCAAAGTAATTACTGTGTGCTCAATTTTGTATAGCGGCTCTGGCCTTCTAGGAATTGACAACATACCAGGAAATACATGTAATAAAATATTCCAAGGTGGTTCATTCTATGGCAGACACATTCAGGGTCTCAGAGACACCCAGGCAGACCTAGACATGATGTGTGTGTCAACACATGTGAACTGGGGGTGGGGGAAGCAGGAACAAACAGTATGGAAAGGTTTCCTAGGAAATGAAAACTCAACTAAATTACAAAGAAACTACCAAGACAGAGTGGCTCAAGTCGGTTAAGCATCTGACTCTTAGTTTCGGCTCAGGTCATGATCTCAAGGGTCCTGGGATTGAGCCCCGTGTTGGTGGTGGTGGTGGGGGGGTCCCCACTCAGCAGGGAGTCTGCTTGTCCCTCCCCCCCATGCTCCTCCCCCTGCTCACATGCTCCCTCTCTAAAAGAAATTTTTAAAAATCTTAAAAAAAAAAAAAAAAAGAAACTACCAAGACAAAAGCATGGAGAGATTTCTAGTGGTTTGGCCTTGCTGGACCACAAAACATAAAGGAAAAAGGATTTTGAGGGCAAAGTGCCTGGAAAGGGAATGGCTTAACCCATTAAGTAATGAGAAGTCATCAGAGTACGAGGCAAAGGAATGGGATGGTCAGGTTTGCGCTGTAGATCACTGGTGCTGGTAGTAAGGCAGAGAGATGACGACGACAGCCTGAAATAAGGCAAGTGGCACTGAGCACACAGAGGAGGAGACACACTGGATACAATCATTTAAGAGATCAAATCCATTCCTTTTTTTATTTTTTTTTTATTTTAGGGGGTGAGGGGTGGGGCCGAGGGAGAGGGAGAGCAAGAATACCAAACAGATTCCCCACTGAGAATGGAGCCCAGGACCCTGAGATCATGACCTCAGCCAAAATCAACAGTAGGACTCTCAACCAACTGAGCCACCCAGGAGCCCCCCACCAAATCCATTCTTTCAGGATCTACTATGTGCCAGGCAGTGAGGTGCTGCCCATGAATTTATATAACCTTCTGAACTAGAGAATCTATGTTTGCCCTGCATAGGCTAACATCTTCCAAGACTCCCTTACTTCTAATTCGTGAACAGATCGCTGTTTTACCCTACCCACTGATGATACGGAATTTGATCCCATCCTTTCTTAGTCTGTAGGTCTCCTCTCTTTACTAGGGCCTTTCCAGTTTAGCTTCTACCTGGTACCTCCTACCACCCTCCGGTCACTTCAGTCGCTAGGTCTGGTTACTAACAGTGCCTCTCCCCTCTGCAATCCAACTTTCCAGTGCCAAGACCCCTTAGGAAAGAAGACCAGAGCACCAGACTCTACTCACAGCAGCACAATAGGGCCCCACTGTCTTATCCCCTCTCGTTCTCTCCAACAAGCTAGGGAAAGCGCAGTTCTAGGACACAGAGCATGGGCCCTGAAGCCGAATGTCTGGCTGCAGCTATGTAATTTTCAGCGAATTCCTTAACCTTGCCGTGCCCTGGTTTCTTCATCTGCTAAATGAGAATAAGAGTACCTATCTTGGGTTATTTGAGTATATATGAGGACAGGATTACAGGAGTTAAAATAAGGGAAGTGCTTAGCATGGCATGTCTCACATAGTAAATGCTCAGTAAATGTCAGCTTGTGGTCTGGATCTCATCAAGTGCTCTATTCCTTTAGAACACAACTCACAATGGAGTTTGCCAGTCTCTGAGCCTGCAGTCTTACCTTGGCACCAGCCAGTTCCTTCATCATAAAGAGAGAATCATCAGCTCGTTCATCGTCATCGTCCTCATAATTTGGGGAGGGAGCTCCCTCGGCCCCTTGCCTCAGGAGGCTGCCACTTCCTCGAGGGTCAAATGGATCTACCACAATGGGCTCAGTACCTTTAATTTCACATCGGCAGAAAGGACAGCCCTGGCCTTCTGATTCCTGCAGAGCAAACGGGAGACAGTCACAGGCGCATCTGAAAGTACTGACAATTTGTGTCCACTAGGAAATACACTTCCTAAAGACGAAAAAAGAAACCAGAAGCTTAAAACCTCCCCCACAAACCAGGCCATGCTTTCTCTCCGTACAGGATACAAAACCCCCAATTCTTCTGAGGATTACATAGCGGAGATGATCTGGATCCATACCTGCCAGGATGTGAGACAGGACGTACACATGAGGTGTCCACAGGGCTCAATTTTCACATCCTTGTCGTTTTCAGCGCATATTTTACACAGTTGGAAGGTGGAGCCCATCTCACAGTATAATTCATATTGTTCCTTTGATTAAAAAAAATTGAAGTGATTACTCAGCCAATTGCAGGTATTTGTCAAACGGATCAATGACTGCAACCTTAAACCCCAACACCAGGAAAACTACAGACGGTTACTCTCTATACAAATTTTGCTTCTGTGGAAGTGCCACACAATGGTCACTAGTCTCTCATCGACACAGAAAACACGCGGTCTTGGTCCTATTTTAAGTTCTTTAGAGAAACCACACACACATAAACTCCCTAAGCTAGTCGATGGTTTAACACGTAAGTGTTCCAATCACTTCATACCACTCCACTGTCAGCTGGGTCAAGTACGTACAAAAGCTTGCCTGTACAGACACGGTGAGGATGTAAAACAAAATTCACCTGGGTCACTTTGATGTGGTCTTGGGGAGTTGGTTCACATAAGCCTGTCAGGTCGGGATTCTGATTCCGTCCATCTGGAAACAGATAGCTGTAAAAAGAGTAACCAGCCTTCGGGTTTTACTAAAGCCAATTTATAACTGCTTGCTAATACAGACAAATGATATCTAGGACTTCTCTCGTCTAAAAGAGCAACTTTGGGGGTGCCTGAGTGGCTCCATCCATTAAACGTCCAACTGTTGATTTCATCTCATGTCATAATCTCAGGGTCGTGAGATTGAGCCCCGCGCCATCAGCTTCGCACTCAGCATGGAGTCTGCTTGAGATTCTCTTTCTCCCTCTGCCCCTCCCACTGCTCGTACACACTCTCTCAAATAAACAGGCAACTCTGCATAAGTACAAAGATAAATACTCCAAACGATAAATAACATAGAACAGTTCCAAGAAGATATTCTCCAAACACTGATATGCCTTCTCTAGGCCACAATGCCACGGGCTTTATCTTTACACTGAGTGGCTGACAAACTTTTTCTGTAAAGGGCCAAAGAGTAAATATTTTAGACTTTGCAAGCCATAGAAGTCTGTGTCATATATTCTTCTTTGGTTGTTATTTTTTAAGTAACACTTCAAAAAGGAAAACCTATCTTAGTTCCAGGCCATACCACAACAGCTAGCTTGTGGGCCATAGTTTGCCAACCCCTGTTTTAATCTATGGATGGCCACAAAATACAAATTATTAATTTTTTATTTTATTTTATTTTTTATTTTATGTAGGCTCCACACCCAGCATGGAGCCTGACATGGGGCTCGATCTCACAACCCTGAGATCAAGACCTGAGCTGAGATCAAGAGTTGGAAACTTAACCACTAAGCTACCCAGGTGCCCCCAAATTCTTAATTTAAGCACCATTTGGTTTTGACCAAAGGCCTAAAATACCCTTATTTACAGCGTATTTAACACTGAGAGACACCAGTGTAAAAGAAATGTAACAAGAACCAAAGCAAGCCCCTGAGATCAACTGCCAGGAAGCCTGGTGTGTCGGCCTGCTCTGATGTTTGGGGACGCACCCCCTTCAGCTCCAAGGCTGCTGCCAAACATGATGCATGATGGAAAATGGACTTTCCTTGTTGCTTCAAAACGCAAGCAGCTTTCTGACAGCTGGTCAACTGCTAGTATTTTTAGTGCCTACCAGGTGATAATCAATTTGAGTTCCCAAAGGAATAGCATTCTGGAATAAATAGGAACTTAAGTCATAAATATCAGCATAGATTACAGCAGCCCAAAGCCTGAAGAAATACTGCCAAAACAAAACGCTTCGGGCAGATGAAGGCCACTGAGCCTGCTGTTATTAAAAATATCTAACCACTCTAATGTGAGCTAGTTAAATAACTGGTAACACTCTCTGCTAATTAGCGTCTTTTCCAATATAGACTTGAAGGTAAGTTAACATCTGGAAAAGGAGAAAGACAGTTTGCTCTTGGTAATAACTAAAGCACTAGAGAAAAATCATTTCACTCAAAGAGTCGTTTTAAATAACAAAAGTCCTATGGAAGCTGAAGGTCTAAATAATACAATCTGTTAATATGTTTCTTGAATCTTCAACCATGAAGACACCTGGAATCAAGTCACTGATGATCAAGTTTTACACCCCTAAGTTCCTAGACTCCAGCAAGTGGCAAACAGCAGATACTCACAAGCCTTCCCTGAAGCCGTCAATCAGGGCTTGGAAGAGAGGTTTATTGTGAGGGATCGTCTGGAGAATGTTCCCATCAGCAGTGACATACCCAATAGCCCACTGACCCAGACGAGTGCAGCTCAGCCGGAAAATGTAACTGAGAACAGAGATGAACAGAACCTTTTACGTGTTTATATTAGGGTGGAAGGCAAGACAGAGACAAAAATCAAACGGACTATCAATAATAAATTCTACAGTGACTCCAGACCAAAAGCAAAAAATACGTGAGCTCAATTCTTAAGTGGCTTGAAAGCATTTATCAGATTATAAGATCTGAATAAGTCAATTCCTCTGGTAAACAGACATCAATCCTAGTGCAGCAACGGGGCCACTGGGGAACTAATCCACGATCACGTTTCCTCCATCCTGGCAGAGGTCACAAGAGAATAAAATTTAGGAGAATAAACCTCTTTGCTTCACGGCACTGACCTGCCTGGTTTGTGAATGAACTTCTGGAGCCGAGCTTTCACTTCGTCATAGGTCAGGAAAGCCATGTAACCGGGATGAGTTACGGCAAGACTGTTCCAGTTCCTGAGCAAAGAGGACCAGGGCTAAGGGAACAAGAGCTCAATCAGACCACTTGGCTCAAGACAGCTGACCATCCTCAGAGCAATGAAGAACAGAAGGAAAACAACCTCAATTCTCCATTCATTGTCACAAATTTCAATTACATTGTGACTTTGAGGGAAATATGTTTGGGAGGTAAGAACTCAGAAAAGCCAAGAAGAAATAAATACATGGTTATACAAAGAAATTTCATTATAGAATGAAATTCAAGACATTTTACAGCAGTTCTAGCCAACAGCAGGGGCCTACATGTACAACTAAGAAGTTGCAAATAAAGGCTTATACAAGTTGGCACACACACATCTTTACAGAAAAAAAGAAATGAGTTATTTCTGAAGCATCAATGCAAGTCAATATAACAGTCAAAAATTTCAAAGTTGGAAACATACATAAATGTTTAACAACAGGAAACTGATTAAATAGATCACATTATACCCATTTTCTGGACGTTCTACAATCATTAAAATGATGCAAAAGAGGAATATTTACTAACAAAGAGAGATTATAAATGTGAGGGGAAGAAAGCAGATTATATAGTTATTATTTTTAACAATAGATAGATAAAAATAGTGAGGGTTTTTTTGCTTATAATTTCTACACTGACTAAAAATACTTTTACATAATATGTAAACTCCCAGATGTTATTTTTTTACAGAGCTCTCTCTTCAGAAAAGTAGCAACTAGTTTAGCCAACATTTTAGTATCCTACCTGAAAGAGTCGTGTGAAAATGTCAAATTCAAAAACTGAAATATAATCATTGCAGGTCAGATCAATAGTGGATTTCAGAGCCATGGCCTCGAGCCCAGAACTGATGGGATGCACTTCATGAAGGGCCTGTCGGAAACTCTTCCAAGGGACTATTGTCCTAGATGGGGGAGCAGGGGTGGAAGGGAAGGCACAGAGTGAGATAACAGACAATTCTGGCCATTGCTATAATAAGCAAGAAAAAAAGCCACATTAAGGTCTCAGTATCAATTTCAACTCTCTTAAAGAAGCGAAATTGTATTTTGGATTGAGAACAGAAAGGGAATAAATGATGTATTTCTTAATTTTCTAATAAGGAAATTAGTAACAGAGAAATCTTTTCCCACTATTCTTTGGCAATATGTCACAAACTAATCCCCTTTCTCATCTTTCTTCACACATTTGTTCTCTTTAGAGAAACATGGAAAGAGAGAGGAGATTACTCTTTATATAAATGTCATCTGTAGCCAGGCCTTCACTAACTGAAAAGCCTACATTTAAACCAACATTTTAAAAGCACATAAAACATTCTGAGTTCTTTGAGGAACTCACAATCTCAAGGCCTAGACATGAGGAAATAGGCTTAAGGCACAGGAAGAACATGGTTCTGAAAGGGATGAGGAATAAATTATTAACGTAAGAGTGATTATACCCCAGATAAGGCTAGCACAAGATACTACGGGATTTCTATTTCTCAAGATCTTTACATAAACACAAGCTCACTGACTTTGAAATGTTTCTGTACTCACTGCCTAAAAATTAAAAGAGAAAGTGGCATTTTGAACTCTTTTCTAATGGAGTTATTAAGTTAAAAGGAACAAAGTTAAATTCATTCCCATCCTCTTTAAGTTTTAAAATCACTAATTAGTCTATATTTTACATTTAAACATATTTTTTAAAAGGCATTTAAAGCAAAATTTACATTAGGATCTGTATATTCAACTAAAAAGTACTGCTATTTTTTTCAGTTCCTTGATCCGAAACTTCAGAAGATAAACATTTATATTAATACTTAAAAGCCTAAGTTTAATTCATAAATCTGTCTATATAATTTAAAACTTCTATACATCAAAAGACAATATAACGGGGCGCCTGGGTGGCTCAGCCTTTAAGCATCTGCCTTCGGCTCAGGTCATGGTCCCAGAGTCCTGGGATCAAGCCTCGCATCAGGCTCCCTGCTCTGCGGGAAGCCTGCTTCTCCCTCTCCCACTCCCCCTGCTTGTGTTCCCTCTGTCAAAAAATAAATAAAATCTTAAAAAAAAAAAAAAAAGACAATATAACAACAAAGTGGAAAAACTAGCCATAGACTAGGAGAAGATATCTGTAATTTAAGTAACTAACAATCAGTACCTTTCAACAGGAAAAAGACAAGTTACTCAGTAGGAAAATGGACAAGTTAGGAACAGGAACGGGCAAGTCAGAGTAAGAATCCCAATGGGTCATAATTGTGAAAAGATGCCCAATCTCCTTTGTCATCAGGAATATAAAGCAAAATATGATACCCAATTCATACTACCAGTGTTAGCCCGATTGTGGAGCTACTGGAATTTGTGTATACTACTTATAGGGATAGAAACTGGTATAACCACTTTGGAAAGCAATTAGGCAATATTTGGCAAAGCAGAGGACATGAAACCCCGATTCAGCTATTTCAGTCCTAGGCATCTAACTGTGAAGAAGCTCTTGCACATGAAGACAAATGTAATTTTGTTCACTGCAGCACAGTTTTGTGAGAGCAAATAATGTGAAACATAAACGTCTATTAACAGCAGAATGGATGGGGAGAGATACAGACGAATATTCAATTAAAGAACATGTGTTTCAACTGAATCTGCAAAGCTTTCTTTAAAAAAAACAGGAACAAAAAACCCCCAAAACATGGGGAGGTAGGTACAACAGTGCCCCCTTATCTGCAAGGGATACTTTGCAAAATCCTCAGTGGATGGCTGAAATGGCAGATAGTACCAAACCCTAAATACACTATAGTTTTTCCTGTACACACACACCTATGATGAAGTTTAATTTATAAATTAGGCACAGTAAGAGATTAACAACAATAATAAAATAGAACAATTATAACCAATACACTGTAATGAAAGCTACATGAATGTGGGCTTTCTCTCTCTCTCAGTATCTCACGGTGCTGTACACAACCTTCTTGTGATGATGAGATAAGATGCCTCTGGGACGAGATGAAGTGAGGGGAAAGACGCAGGCATTGCAACATAGCGTTAGGCTACTATTGACCTTCAGATAATACATCAGGAAGACCATCTGCTTCTGGACCACAGCTGACCTCAGGTAACTGAAACCATGGAAAGTAAAACTGCAGATAAGGGGGGCCTACTGTACACACATACTAATTATTTTTCTCTACGCTTTCCCATGATATAATTAATTAAAAAAATAAACAAGGGCACCCCGCGGGCTCATTTGGTAGACCATGTGACTCTGGATCTTGGGGTTGTGATTTCGAGCCTCACATTGGGGTCAGCGTTTACTTAAAAAAATTAAAAAAAAAGTTAAAAATTAGATAAAAGATTAAAAAAAATTAAGCAAAAGGCCACAACATAAGCTTTAGTTCTTTACAGTTCAAATTCATTATTTCGAGGGGTACCTGGGTAGCTCAGTGGGTTAAGCGCCTGACTCTTGGTCTCAGCTCAGGTCCTGATCTCAGGGTTGTGAGTTCGAGACCTGCACTGGGATCCATGCTGGGAGCCTACTTAAAAAACAAACACACACACAAACAAAAATTCATTATTTTGAGACTTACTTTTCCCCAAAAGCTTTCCTCCAAAATTCTGCAGCATCTGCTTTAGTAATCCGAAATGTGTCTCCTTGAAAGAGTCCACTTGGAAAGATTCCTTTTAGTTCTGCCAGCATGTGGCTGAAGATCAGGGACAGTTTGGTTAGGTTTCGCCTACAAATGATCAGAAGTGCAATAATTAAACACATAAACTTACTTTTATTTTAAATGCACTGAATTCACCATATCAGGTGTGTAATTAATACGAACATGAACATACATTTACAAAGAACCTCTTCAAATATACTTTCTGGCAATTATTATTCAGAGATATACAAAACTAGGAAAGAAGAGAGGAAGGAATGTGCTGTTGACACTATTAAATACTCTGATATTATCTTTGTTCAAAGAAGGGCTTCAGAAACTGTTTTTGTTCTAACACCATATGAAAGATGCAGATATAACACAGGAAAGACTGTTGCATTCACTAGGTCCACCCCTATTTCCCCCATTCAAAAAGATGTTGGATAGTAAATAGAAAATTTTAACAGTAATATATTTTAAGGCTTTTAATCTCAGATTAATCAGGCCTAATACCTCTGAGTATTAACTAACATGAACAAATCTACTTTTTGAGGATGACAGATAAGACAACTCAACAAATAAAGGTACAAACTTGTACGCTGATAGAATCATTCACTAACAAAAGAAAGGAAATACTAAAAAAGCAAAATATATTATTTCTGCTTTGCATAAGCTATTCTGGATTTTTTAAAAAGATTTCATTTATTTATTTGAGAGAGAGAAAGAAAAATCACAAGTTGGGGGAGGGGCAGAAGAAGAGGGTGAAGGAGACTCCTCGCTGAGCAGGGAGCCCAAAGCGGGGCTCAATCCCAGGACCCTGGGATCATGACCTGAGCCAAGGGCAGACACTTAACTGGCTGAGCCACCAGGTGCCCCGCTATTCTGGATTTTAAAGCTAATCATAGGGGCGCCTGGGTGGCTCAGTTGTTAAGCGTCTGCCCCCAGCTCAGGTCATGATCCCAGGGTCCTGGGATCGAGCCCCACATCGGGCTCTCTGCTTGGCGGGAAGCCTGCTTCTCCCTCTCCCACTCCCCCTG